GTGAGGCCGACAGCCTTGTCCACGAGTGCCGTCGAAGGAGGGCCTTCGAAGCTAAGTAGGGGAGGCTGTGACTGGCAGGAATGCCAAGGACGTGTAATGACCGTCACGCTAGTCCTCGGCCGAAGGCTTCGGACTAGCGCCGGTAGGGCCCTGTAAATTACTCGAAGGTATATAGTCAGACGGTCCCCAGGACCTAGCAGAATTCACCATGTTCCTCCGTTGAGTCACAAGGAGTTGCCACGGATGCCACGTGCCACCCACGTGCCTATGAATGTCGTGATTAGCTAAGCGAAGGTTCCAAGCGTCACGGGCAAGTATGTAGTCAGGTAGTTTAGATCTCCGCTGTGTGGAGCACAACCTTCGGCTTTCCAAAAGCCCCGGATCTGTCTTTTAGGACGCCGATTTCGCGCATCTGTGTAGAGTGGGTGGTTGTCATGTTACGTGTCATTTACGTGTCGTCTTTCTCGGTTCAGTCTTGGGCTGTTTGTGGATCTGCGACGAAGTACCAGACCGGAGCGTTCTGCGACAAGAAATGGCAGCACACGTAGTGGGCGGCAGTATTTCTGACGTGATGATTCGTTCTACGGTAGATACGCATTCGTGTTCCATTTCTATCATGTCGAGAAGCCAGCGAATAAGGTAGTGTACTCTCAAGAGGGACGAGATCGTTTGCACTCTTTTTCGGCGGCTTAGACAAAACAGGCCATGGAAGCATCAATTCCTTGTATTTATGGACAGAAGTTGCAATCGAGAGGCAAGAATGCCTTCAGAGCACGAAAACAAACTGAGCTACTGGATCGCTGTCGCACGTAGCAGGTTCGGAGCGATGGCGCTCGAAGTAGTGGTCCCTCATTTCACCATGCAGGGCATTTCACCACACCGGGATGTCGATTAATCCTTCCAAAAGACCGAGGTTGCCTAGATTGATCAATTCTGGAAATGGAAACTCATAGCTACTTCACCGTCTCCGCTCGCGAAACCCATCAACATAAGTGCTATCCAAGACCTTCTGCGTCGGTCTGATCTGCCTCCGGGGTTTTCCATCTTTAATTGAGGCCCGTGGACGTGGATTGGATTGCACACAGTGTGCACCTGTCGGTGGCTGCCGAGAGGTCGTAAGCTCATGACTGAGATACCTGGTTGAGAAGGGCGCTGCCGTGAGTGGCATAGCAGCGTGCGTTGGTTGTCCCACAGTAGCATGTCTCGTGCGTTTGGCGGTTGTTCGCTCGGCAACGAGCTCATCAGGAGAAGTATCTGATTCCTCCTCTTGAAGCACGGACCGAGATGTACGGCTGTCCGTCAATGTGGTTGACGGAGTATCCGCAGGTGCGCCTCGGGCTTTTTGATTTGCGCGCTCGATGAAATTGTCTCGATCGGTTTTGGCCCGGTCTCGGTTGTGGCGGAAACCAGCGGCTCCTTTCACAAATGTTTCCCTGTTGCCAGTCATTTGAAATCCATCCAGTTGTGTCATATGGCACTCGGGTGGTTCTCCAGGCGCCTTAGGCGCGGTTAGGTGGTGAGTATAGAGTTGCAGCGTTGCGGTGCCTTGGTGGTAGGTGGCTGAGTAACTAGTGGCGTTGCCATCATATATGGGTTCTACCACTTGGTAGTTCTGTAGACTGTGCATTGCCCGGGCGCCGACAGCCCCGTCGTAACAAGCTTGCCGCTTTGCGACGTCGGCACGACCGCCCGCACTCTTTCCCTCTAGGAAAAAGTTTGGTGCCGCCGGTAAAGAGGTGTTGTTAGATGGGATAATGTGCTTTCCGAGATCACGGCGGACGCGTTGATTAATCTGCTGGGGAAAAGCGCCGTCGTATAAGTCCGGCACGGGCTTTGGTAGGTCCTCGGCGAGCGGCTCTAGATGATTGAATTGGCGGTCGGCTGCGGAATTATACTGTTTCCTCGATTCGCCCGCAATAATGGATATAATTTCGGCCCGTACAGTCGCTTCATCGCCTGCTCTGTCACAAAGATCCACAAACGCATTAAAGTCCTCGTCACCGAATCGCGAAGGAGACAAGGAAGCTCGAGGCTTGGCCATATCATCCCTAATATCTTTGGCATTGTTGGGTTTTGAACCTCGGTTGTGTGGATATATTCCGCCATCGATCAAGTTCTGCTCGAAGTTGGGATCGTAAGAAGACTTGCCGGTCTTGCTGGTTGCACCACTGCCGCTGGATGCAGACGAACGCTTTCGGCTTGAATTAGATGGACTCATGGCGTCGCCCTGGTCAGCAAGAATGGCAAACTATAAGAGCGCTCCGTTAGTATTGGACTCCAAAGGGGCACACGAACGGAACTCACTCCTCGAATATGGCTTAAGTCAGGTCCGCCGTGTCGTGAAAATCGCTTCACGCTTTTCGTCCCAGGTCTAGATGAGGTGTTGATGCTGGAATGTAGCGTCAACGCTCGTTGTTCGGCTCTCGAAGTCCTGCGGTCGAACTCTCTCAATGCACCCCGACTCAAATGGACCTTGGAGAGCCTATTCCAGAAGCTTGGAGGACGGTGCCACTGGTATGTTCCAGCTTCTGAAGTGCGTGTCCTTCTCTTTGCGGATGGAGGGTCCTCAGGGCTGTCTTTAGGGACAGATTCATCAGTGTCTCTTTGCCGCTTCTTCGAGCGGGGGTCCTCGTTAAGAACGAACATGAGGGTGTCGAGAGGGAATGGTTGGTAAGATGGGAAGGACTAAGTAGGCCGCGGTGGCTGGATAGAGGGGTCGTGTTAGAGAAGCAGTCTGCGGACAACACAGACGGTCCCAGACGACGCTTCGAAGCATCCATCGACTGGCTGGCATCTACGCATTCAACGCCCGCAGTAGCGCTTGACTCGAATTCATGTGGTGGAGATGTTGCAAGCATGATTGGACATGAAGGGCGATGTCAAAAGTTCCTCTGACTCCGCAGGCGGCTGCGGGGGCGGCTAGATCCAGTGTTCAAAGGGAAGGAAGGTTACCCGAGTCGAACCCAACAGCGCAACTTTCTTGATCTCAGCGGGTGTGTTGTATGAGAGTGTACAGCAAATTCTCTGATGTCCGTCCTGCACGTCCTGCGATGGACGACCCATTTATTCAACACTTCCTCGAAATCCGCCTCGGTGAGCGTTACCAAATTTGTCAACGTATAGGATCAGGTTCGTTTGGAAAAGTGTATATCGGTAGGGTTGCTATCTCGGAGACCGTGAAGCATCGATTTAATTGATTCGCACAGGGCGCGATGTTCCTACGGGTGACATGGTGGCCATTAAACTCGAGCACCGTTCGACTGCACCATCACTTCTGCGCCAAGAGATCGAAATCTATGAAGAGTTGATTGGACAACCTGGCATCCCTCGAGTGTTCTGGCATGGCTACAACTGTGATTTCCAGGTGGTGGTGTTTGAACTTCTTGGGCCCAATCTCGAGGATCTCTTTCGATATTGTGGTAATAAATTCTCACTCAAGACAACGTTGATGCTGATAGATCAATTCCTCCATCGGGTTGAAAGTCTTCACGCGGTGGGCTATCTCCATCGTGATATTAAGCCCGAAAACTTTCTACTGGGCACTGGAAAGCAGGGTAACATTGTCTACATGACCGATTTCGGACTCGCCACCTATCGGAGGGACTCACACGACCAAGCCATAAGTCACAAGCCTGCAGCCAGTCCCCGGATTTCCTTAGTCGGCACCTGCCGCTATGCTAGTATCAATGGCCATTTGGACGTCGGTAAGTGCCGTGAATGTCTCGCATCGTTGATTCAACGGCTAACACTATGCAGCTCCATCACGGCGTGACGACCTAGAGTCGCTAGGGTATATGGCCTTGTATTTTCTTCGTGGGTCCCTTCCCTGGCAAGGTCTGAAGGCCTCGAGTCGGCAGGAAAGATACCGGCTTGTCTTAGAGCGGAAGCAGACGATCAAGGTAACCGAACTCTGCCAGGATCTGCCCGCGGAGTTTACTACATATATGAACTACATTCGTGGATTGGACGACCAGGATAAACCCGATTACAAGCACCTTCGGAGCTTGTTCCGTCACCTATTTCACCGTAATGGCTTCGAGTATGACTATACGTTCGATTGGACGATTCGAGAGTTTGAAAGGCAGTCAAATATGAATCAGCAACGTCCTGTGCCCTGTCCTAGCGTTGGGGAGCAAAAGACGAAGCGAACCGTTGCAGGCAACCGTGACCGAAAGAGGAGGCGTCGAAGAGATGATGCGAAGGAATCATAGCGTGACACCTTTGACTGGATGATTCGGGGATTCCAGGGGCTGGAGCCTGACGCCCAAGAGCCGCTTACGTCGAAAGATGGTAGACGAAAGGCGAGGAGCGGACACCACGAAGCGTCAGGTTGTGGAGTCCAGGTTGTGACTAAGGTAAGTCGTCGAAAGAGGAAATGAAATTGTATCCTCCAACATGGGGATGGAGAGGACCATGGACACGCTACTGACGACTATCACTCCCATTCACACAGCATGCATCTCAAATGCTGGCTAAGGCCCGTCCCTCTCTAGAGCGTGCCTGTTATCGATCATCGAGAGCCAACCGTTTCGCAAGCAGCAATACCGACAGGGAGGCAGGAAGTCTCAAAGGCAAATCGTTGGCTGGTAGCACATCACTGAGCGAAAGCCCGCACTGTACAATCTGTACGGCGCTCTGCATCAAACTTTGAACGCCTCACCGGTTTGCAAGACTCATCATAGTTGTTGCATGTGCGGTGACCGTTATGGCGACCACCCTTGAAAGTCAATTTGCTGCTGGGTCGAAAAGCTTCCCTGTTCGAGCTCCCCTGCAGGAATCGCAAGCTCGCAGTTTCACGGAACTCGCGTCTTGTTGAGTTTAGGAGCGAATCTGCATCGAATTCGAGCGAGAATGGCGTTGACCAACACTCCCTATCATCAGGGGGGTTAGCTGTTTCCACACTTTGATGGGGTGAATGGCAATAAAGACAGAATGAGAATGCCTCTCAGCATGTTGGCACCTAAATATGGTCTTGCAGTCAGTCAGCTCATTTGCCAGGTTCCTCCGACGACTTTCCTTCCCTTGACATCTTCCTTCTGCATCATCGACGGATCGCTATCATCAGGTAATTGAAGACGCAGCGTGATTCTTAGTTGATTCGCCCAAAAGCGTAATGAAAGGACCATTGAAATCGTAAGGTCCTTTTCGTTGTATCATCTTTCTTCCAGTCTACGTCTTCCAAAAAAGCCGGAACGAATACTTTGCTCGACGGTTCTGTTGGAATCCCAAGATCTTTGTAGGAGTCGATCTGACGAGCACTGGCATGAGGGTTTGCAGTATAACGCAGTGCTTAGTGATGGGGGACTGTCGTTACCGCATCATTCGCTTCCAAACGCACATCGTACCATCATTCAAATACTCTCACAACCTTGCAACTCTCGTACTTCTTAGAAAGATTATAAAGACATAGTTGCACCTTCTTCTCACCATCGTGTCATTCACTATCGCGAATGTGGCCGAAACAAGCTTGATTAGCCATGACAGCTTCCAACGCCTGAAGCTTCCCGATAAGAGCTGCCATCGACTTCGGCTTAGTATTGATCCAATTGTCCACTAAATTGCTCGCCGTGGCGCGGAGGATTGTCGCCAGTCTTGAATGGCCCTGTGCGACTAGATTGGGGTCTTCGAGGTTCGATTGATGCATTTCAGTTAGTGACTCATGGGCTGTCAGAGACGACGCACTATTGAATTGTCTTAAGCACAGCATGCAAGCGGTAGATGTTCGCGTCCGCTTTGTAGCGGAAGGACTCCGGGTGAGATCCCGTGATGTTCGCCGGAGATTAATTTGACAGGAGATGACCACTGGATCGCGGCTCCTCTTGAGGAATTACAGAAGCGGGCGCCTGTGTTTCTAAACCACGAGCTCTGAGCTGTTGAGCTGCAGGACCAACGTGGCGCTTGAGGAAACAGTATATGGCATTATGAGTGGCTTCTGGTCCCATAAGATCCGCAATGCTTTGGTATCGACCTTTGAACTATGATGTGATCAGCATGGCTCGACAGCATCATCATTGCACGAGGCACCTACCACTTCGGACCTAGTGCAGCACAGACCGCTACGAGAAGTCGAAATTCGGGTTCCTCCAGTCTGCTACCCATCACTGGCTTTACGTTTGTGACACTATTGGATTGGTAAATGTCGAACAGGGTCTCTTGTGGAATTCGCAAATTGATCGCGCGGCATTCTGAAAGGGATGATGACACAGACCCTGTCGCCCCTACTACTATGCTGCTGAAGAAAGCTATGCCAAGGCTGGGACGAGCGCCACACCTTCCTCGTTCCACTGTGATTACAAAAATTGAAGCACTACGCTAAACACTAAACACCATGGCTAAGACTCACACGCTATTCAGCTCGATTGATGCCTGGCAAAGAGGCATGCGTAACAAGCACTGCTCTGCTCTCGCAAGAGCTGTGCGGAGGATAGAGACTTCGGAGACTTACTGTATTGCACGTAAATTAACCTGGCAAGTTGTTTTTGTCATCTTCTAATTTTCTCAAGATTTCTGCCGTCTCTGCCACGATGGCCCGCCGGTCCTTCAGCTGCAGAATGATTTCAGCTTTTGTGATGCGGCCCTTTCCGATGATGTGAAACGCCAAAAGCAGGGCAAACCGGGGCTGAGCTGAGTGATCCCAACGCTCGGCAACTGTTGGGTGACTGTAGCTGAGGCCCAAAGGGGACCCCCTGAGCCCGAACTAGCTTCTGGGAATGGGCGTCAGGCAGCGCTCCCTCGTACTCTGCTGGGGCTTTCCACGACGCTCTTCCGTGCTCTCCTCGATGATCCGTCATGTGCGCGATTAAAGCGGCCTCGCTCCCTTTCCTGAACGAAAATGGTAAGGAACAAAGCACAGTTCGGGGCATATATAATATATATATATATATAAGCAGGGAATCCTGTCTTGGATTCTCGTTTGAGCACGGGCAGGTGTAGTAACGGTCTACATACGTGCATTAGTACATACGTACATACGTCCAGACCTAGTAGCTCATCCGCAACCAGAGACACAAGTAGACGGGCAACAAAGCCAACACTCGAAGTAAAAGAGAAGTCAGGGAAAATTGGGTACGTTCCATATTCGTTTTCATTTCCGTTTTTACTTTGAGAATCAATCCCTTCATCACGCATCATGCATGGCCGATGGGGTCTCCTGGGGCCAAGTATCCAGCTATCTAGCTAGCTATGTACCAGCTATACAATACCCCCGTCAATATTTGACTTTCGTCGTCATCGTCGTCCCTAGTTCGTGGTCTTCCTCACCGTCGCGTTTCCGTTTCCGTTTCAGCCGAACTGCCACCGCTACCGCCACCGCGACCGGCGCCGGCACCGTCGTCGTGATTCATTTCTTCACGACGTGGAAGCCCTCAAAGTTGGGGAGGGCCTTTCTGATGTCCTGGTGGTAGTTGTACATGCCGCCGGCGTAGTTGACCTGCTCGAAGGCCTTGCCGGGCATGCTGCCACCCATGTACCTGCAGAGCGGAGTCAGTCTCGAGACAGAGAGAAAGGTGTGTGAAGGATAAGAGATGGGGAGGAACCAAAACTTACGTGCTCTTGGTGGTCGGGAACAGCGACTTGTCGCTCAACTCGTTGATCTTCTGCTTCCATTGCATGCTGGCCACGTCGGTCGGGTTGATGTACTTGATGCCCTGGCGCTCCATCTGGACGATGGCGTCGGTGATCCATCTGCCCTGAATCTCCACCGAGGTCGGTCCGTTGGACAAGAGCGTGGGGCCGTGCGGGCCGTAGAGATGGAACATGTTGGGATAGCCGGGGACAGTGGTGCCGAGATATGTCACGGCCGCCTTCTTCCACTCCTTGTCAATGGTCTGGCCGTTGATGTTGTGTAGGCCCATGGCCGTCATGCCGCCGGTGGTGATGTCGAAGCCCGTGGCAATGCAGATGATGTCAAAGTCATGGTGTGTGCCGTCCTGGAGGACGATGCCTTTCTCGTCAAAGGCGACGATGGGGTTGTTCTTGATGTTGACGACGTCGACGTTAGGTCGGTTGAATTGCTCAAGGTACGAGTACTCGAGGCACGGGCGTTTCACTCCCCATGGGTGAGGAGGCTCCACGGGGGTCAAGATATCCCGTTTCTTTGCGTCATTCAGACGAGCGCGTTGTTTCTTGGCCCAGAAGTCGTAGACGGCACGGTTGGCCTTGGGGTCAAAGAGATAATCCTTGTAGTTTCCGAGCCAGTAGCGGAAGCCTCCGTCGGACCACAGCTTCTCGAAGAACCTTTCGCGTTCTTCAGGTGTGTCCTCGAACAAACTCTTCTCAGAGAAGTCGTACAAGAAACCACCAAAGCATCGTTCACGGAGGTCAAAGAGCTCCGGGTACCACTTCTTACCGGCCCACTGCTCTTCCGCTGTGAGGGCACGGAGACGCATGGGCACCGTCAAGTTCGGTGTTCGTTGGAAGACCTTGAGCTCACCTGCTTTCGGGCCCCATGCTTGAGTGATCTGGACGCCGGAAGCGCCGGTGCCGATGATAGCACACTTCTTGCCCTGTACGCTGATCTCCTCGTCAGGCCAGAAGGATGAGTGATGGACAATGCCCTGGAACTTTTCGATGCCCGGCCAGTCAGGGACGTAACGCTTGGCAGCAAAGCCAGCCGCGACGACAAGGTACTTGGCCTTGGCCGTTCGGCCGTCCGCTGTCTTGACGTACCAGCGTCCTTCGTCCGTGTTGAATTTGGCTTCGACGACAACACTTTCGAAGGCCGTCTGGCTCTTGATATCAAGGACCTTGTCGCAGTGATCAAAGTAGTCACGAAGTTCCTTGTAAGTGGGATAGTTGGAGGGCCAATTGTACCTGTGGCACATCAGTCACTGAGAAGACAGAACATGGGAGCCTTTGGCATACGTCTTCCAAGTTTCTGGGATCGACAATTGGTATTCCGGGACTTCGGAGTCGACCATTGCTCCGGCTGCTCGAAGGTTAGACACGTCACACCACATCGAAAGGGTCGAGTCTTACGGTAGCAGTTCCATCGCCAGGTACCACCAAGGTCAGTGCCAGCCTCATAGATGACAGTCTTCAGTCCTTGGTTGCGAAGGGACCAGAAGCAAAACACCCCACCGAAGCCGCCACCGACGACAAGGGCATCGACCTCAAGGTTGTCCGCATAGGGACCATCTGTCCTCCTTCGACGGCCGTATTCCCAGAGCTGAGTCTTCAGCTTGGGGTTCGTCATTCCCGGGTCACCCATGAT